CCAATACGGATTAATTCTGTAAGTCGAAGATCCACTCTATGAAGAAGTAAAGGCTCTGTGTCATTCTTGTTTGGCTTTCTTAGATGATACCTAGACATTCCTTCTTGTCTCTACTTGAAAGCTGCCCACCATTTTAGTGACAGGACTGATAAAAGATGAGAGAGGGGCTCTGTTTCTCTCTATATATTTTAGGTAGACATTTTGCTTGAAATCGATGACTGCTCAAATATACAGGCACCATGGGACAGAGGAGAAAGTCCCAGTGATCTGTGTTTTCAGTAAGGTAGTATCAGCTCATAATTGACTATGGATCATTGACTATGGATTCCCCTTCAGAGAACATTTAATAAAGACTGTACATTTTGGGAAAATTCATTTTGTTCAGAATTGTCTATGTTAACTGACAGTCGCAGTCAGAAAGATATCTTTCTCATCAACTGATCCCTTCAACAGGAGGAAATTTAATGTTTCCGATTCAAAGATGGGTACATGTGACCCCTCCTGTTGATCTGGATCTACAACTCTCAGCACTAGCCAGCACAGCCTATGTGGAGGGGCTGTGGGAGTCACAGCCCAGTTGCTCACCTGTGCTCTGATGGCTGTGTTAGGGCCCCACACTTTCTTCCACCTGGCCAACAGGACGGTACTTTCCCCCTTTTGGAATGCGTGAGTGCTTGTGCTTACTGACTTCCTCCTTGGGGACTTTAAGAGGAAGACAGTGGTAGGGTATGGAGGTTGCAAAGACTCCTTTGTTCCCCATCTGCTTAGGTAACATCATAACAAAAACTCCTACACTGGGCACACTCTTAACCCTTTTAATGCTGCCCTCCAACCTTCGCTCTCCTCTTGATTATTAATAATGCTGCTTGAAGTTAGTTTGTACATAGAACCAAGCCCAAAGGCAGGAAATTCAGGCTGCACTCTTACAGGAAGCTTGCCCCGCTCTCAAACTGGTGAGGTCTAAAACTGGGCTGAAAGTCTCTTACACATAGACAGCCCTTTTCCTGAGCCAGCTTCATCTCATGGAAAAGAGCATGGCTTTGAGTCATCTCCAGACATCATCAGGAAGGAGGTAAAGATCTTGCCCAATGAAGAATGTCCTGTGCCTTGCAGAGACATTTTAACCCATCACTGTGCAATTTAATCCTTTTCTGGGGAATCTTGTTCAGGAAAGAAGGGAATTCGGTACACAATTATAAGTCTGTGCAGCTTGGTGTTTCTTCAGAAAAAAACACACACAACAACACACAAACCTGCCCGTGGAGTCCCTGAAAAATCTTTCATGACTTCCCATGAGATTTTTCAGCATGGATGTGAGAGCTTACACAGAAGTGAGGGGCAAAGAAATTTATATCCCTGCTTTGCATTGATGAAGGGGGGTATCAGGAAGTAATTGTTCCAGTTATACCTTAAGGAGAGTAGCCATATACCAACTGGCAGGTGACAAGAGTTTTCTGTACATTGTCCCTGGCTCCATCACCAATAAAAACTCTTCTGGAAAATACAGCACAGAAATCTTTCCCTCGCCCTCCAGGACAACATTTAAAGTTATCTCCTTTTTAACCTATGTACTGAAAACTGAAGGCATTCCATCCTTACTATCCAGGAAGCATTTCATCATGCCTTCTCATGCTGACCTGGCCTTTCTGAAAGAGAAATGAAGGGATAGCAAAAACACACACTCTCAGGTGCTGGGGCATCAGAGCCAAGAAACAATTAGTTACTCCAAGAAAAAGTCACCCCCCTTTCTCTCATTCTCTCCCATCCCTCAAAGAAATGGTACATACCCATCTCCCACCACCACACACTTGATGGCTTGCATGTCTGAGGCCTGAGGGAGCTGCGGTCTTCAGTGGGTCTCTCGAGGCAAGGATAACGGTTGGCAAACGTTAATGGAGGAAACAAGTCTTCTACAGCTATGTCAAAACCGAAGCTGAATTGAACAGCAGGTTGTGGGCTAGAGAGGAAGGGGAAGAGAGAGGTTTCTCAACCCGCCCACTAGTCCCTTCCTCCACACAGGCAGCCTGTTTGCAAAGGGAAGGGCATGCAGCTTAAAAGATATTTCTATCTTTGCATGCCCCAGATGGCTAAGCATTTCCTTTCTTCGTACTCTCTGACTTCAGCTTTTGCACAGCAAAGGAAAAGGTTGTGGTGCATCTTCCACCCAGGAAGAACCATCCAGAAGGGCAGAGGAGATGACAATAGTAAAGCACAGAAGGTGTCCTTCTCTCTTTTCTGATGGATGAAGTGAGAAGAAGATACTTAAGTGAAGATTGTTTGGCTTCATAGCTTTCCCTGAGACTGGGGTGAGAAAGAAAAAAAGAACAGCTTTCTTTACATGCAGAATGTCATGGATGAATGTTTTTCTTTCAGTGTGAGCTTTGAGGAGCAATAGTTCACCTGGAACCCACTGGCGGACCACCCTCCTGCAGCTGCTGGGGAAAAAAAGTTGCTGCTACCTCCGTTTCTGCTGCCTTCATTTCTGGTGTTACCCAAACCTCAGAGATTCTGCTGGCAAACAGGCACTTAAATCTAATTGATACTCCCACCTAAAGTAGACTTATTGAATGAATTGATGGATGCTTTGTGCTTTGACAGCCTACTGAGAATATGATTATACTGGGAAATATTATCTGTGTGCACTCGACATCCCATGCTTCCCAGAAGAATTACTGGAGTTTGAGCAGGAAAAAGGGCAACAGGAGATCCACCAGTGGTGGTGGTGATCCAGGCAGGGTGCAGACATGCCCAGGAGGGTGCATGGGCTGACAAACTACATCTAATCCACCCCTGATCTTATTGGTGGGAACACTCTTATGAGCAACAAAGCTCATCCAAAACATTTTGCTCCCTATGATGATAGACGAGAGAGCATCCTACCTGTTCTTCATACGAAAGCTGACAGACTTGCAGTTGAGTCTCACTTCATCCTCGGTGAAGGGGCAGCCTCCTCTACTCTACCTGTAGGCAGCAGGATGGCTTAGGGCAGTTTTTTTTACTGGTGGTACATATCCCACTGGTGGGACAGAGATGCAATCAATGCCAGACGCAAGGCTTTTATAAGAATTACTGAGAATGCACTTACTGTACTTCCTATGTCACAAATGTGATATGCCATCTCCTGCCAACCCTACCCACCATAGATTAATATTCTGCAACTATTAGTGTCTATGAACATTTGGTACTTTTCCTCCTGTAAGTTTACAGTGGCTAGAATCCCATAATGTATTTATTAGTAAAATGATTGGTGAGAGATAGAGTATTAAAGATTGAGAATACTGGTTAAGAGGATACAAGGCAAACTGTGAAAAAAAAAAAACCAGTTTAGTCCTTCAGCATTTTAGTGCTCCTCCCTGCCCATGGCATTTCTTGCCTGAGATGGCTCCCACACTCTACTTAATGAAAAGGCCAGCCCAGATCGGTGCTAACTACCCATATAAATTTTTTAAATGGAACTAATAATTACATTTATTTTAACTTTGCCTTTTAAATATCTCAAACAGCTAACCACTACAAATATAAAATTATAATATGGAATTCTGCATTGCCAGCATAGGAGAAAAGGAAACATTTAAAACGGAGACGTGTTCCTGTTCATATATCCTACTATCACATTAGTTGCATGCGCATCTTTCAATTAAGACAGTCCTTAATAGTCATCTCCACTGGACAGATTCCATGATAATCACTTCCACCACAGCTACTACCAATCAAACATGTCTTTTCCTTTGCCGTCTTCTCACACCTTGACAGCCGTACCCTTTTTAATTTCCCAGCCTAACAGGCTTGGTAATTAATAATGTGCACATAATTATGCCAAGGAAACAGTAGAATCTCTGCAGTTGCATCGTGCCTCTTTCTCTGCAGTCACTGTGAAGCGGCTGTGTTGGTCCATCTATGCTTAGGGTAACCAAATACCCTGCTTTACAAGGGGGAGTCCTTTACTGGTAGGTGTCCTCTTCCATTTGAGGGCTTGCCTTCTCCAAGCGTGGTTGAAAGGCAGAGGACCATGAAAATGGGAGTGTGAGCAGCCGCCTTGCAGTTGCCTTTCAGTAGTTAAAACCTGAACAGGAGACTGAGCAGGTGCACAGATCACAGTCATTCCTATGATGGTGAGATGTATTTCTATTTCATTTATAAAAATGGAGGTGGCCATACAAGAACAAAACATGTCCCAAAGTCACGGGGAAGAGAAGGTAATATGTTTATTAGAATTAGAGTTGCCATGTCACCAGCTTCCTGCTCCCTGAGGTTTTAGAGGTGCCACTTAATGACCAGGGTAGATCTTTCTGATTTGTTGGGGTGGATCTTTGTGATGTCACAAAGAGATGGCAAACAGGAATTGAGAAGGGAGAGCTCTTTGCAACTAATGGCAGAGCTTGTGCAACGCTGGTGCTCTGCTTTCTGCCTTACTTCAAATGGTGAAAGGGTCCCAATGCTAGCACACCCAAAGAGCAGGGGACTGAGGAGAAAGCCATTAGGTGGATGGACCTGGGCCATTGCCATTGTGCCATTTGGTGCAACACACAGAGAAAAACCTTCAGGCCGAGCAGTGAGCCCTAGTGTCAACTGTAAAAGGATGCTTTTGAAGCCAATTCAGACACAAAAATAAAGCTTTCTCTTCCTCCTTGCTGCTCACCATGAAATTTGTTGACATCCCAGAGATGCAGAAAAGCATGACCGTCCCCTGAGACTTCAGCTGGCATCCTGAGACCTAGCAACTCTTATTAAGCTGAACCACAATTCCACAATAACATGTGAGCTCTTGAGTTCTCTTGAGCTCCTCATCAGGCTGGTGTTCTGTGTGCACTCTGAGGTTGCTTCTAACTTATTGTAAGCTTATGAACTGGTGACACCAGAAGCTTATATCATTTAAATTCCTACTGTCAAAGGAGAGTAGGTAAACACACACTAGAAGTGACCCCTTCCAAAGCAAATGGATGCATTTTATTAAGGATGTCGATTGTTCATCTGATAATTGCAGCTATCATTTGATCATTTCATTGGTAATTACTGTGCTCTGCTAGCATTAAATTATCAGAATTCATAATTGCACCTGCCTCTTTGTACCAAGCAGTTACAAACAATACTGCAGGTTATTGGTCTACTATGTGTCGGTGCAAAGCCACTGTGAGATAATTTTGCCCCTGTGGAGGCACATGTGGGTCATGTCCTTAGACACTATAGCAGCAACACAGCCTTCCATAATATTCCTGATCTTTCAGGAGAAGGCATTGTAACAATAATGGTGGTGGAGGACAAGAGATAATTGCTAAAGTACTGTCAATTTGTCAAATCAGTTCAATCAATTTCCAGCTGTCCTTTCAACAGACATTTTTCTAGCACTTCTTGAAGGCCTCTCTCCTGCAATATTTCCACTAGTCTGTTCTCAAGAAGTCTCACTCATCAGCTTCACTACCTACAGTATTTCTTTATTACCCCAGGCACAGGAACTCCAGTCCTAACAGAAATCTTCTCAGGCCACAGTGTCTGTTTTATACATATATAAATAATCAGTGGTAGCGAAGAATAGCTGTATCCCTCTGTTCTAGAAAAAACAGCAGGGCCTTGTGGTACACCAAAGATGAACAAATTTTTTGGGGCATAAGTTTTTGGAGGCTGCAGCCCAAATCATGTAAATGACATTCATAAAAGTTTAATCTTTAAGGTGCCACAAAACCTTATTCCAAAATTAATTAATTAACCAAACCTATTAAGGCACATTTAAAATGCTGCTCAAGGTAAGACAAAATGTGAAACCCTATTGTGTAACGTACACCTGCAGAACAATGATTTCATCAACCAGTGGTGATTTTCACTCATTACCATCTTTCTACCTCTGACCTGTGGCTTTTCAAACTCCCTTTTCCTCATGTGGAAGTAGTAAACCCATGGGACAGAGGGAAGATGTCTTTAATTACTGAAAATCACCACCTGTTGGTGATATCATCATCTTTTTGCAGGCATAGTTATGCTGACATGCAAGTTATTGGTTATACTTCACGTGCTTCATGCTTAGGGAGGGCTCTGAGCCCAGACACCCCTACCAGGCCCCAAGGCCACACTCTAAAACTGTATATTGTCAGAATGGAACCTGGGCAATCACACCTGTCCCTGGCCACTTCCTTAACAATTTAAAACGATTGCACAGCTCTTCCAAAGGGTGCTTTATCTGCATGAATGCCCAGAGGCGTACTACAGAGGCAAAACAAACTGGAAAACAGAAATAGAGAAGTTGAAACCTAACATAGATTCCTGAATGGGCAGTGAAAATTGGAGAAACATCTGGGTAGAAACCCTCAATCTGCCAAAACTTTCCTAGAGCAGAATTAGAGTATTCTGTCTATATTTAGGCTAAGTCCGTATATGTACATCCACAATAGCTATTAAGGATTGACTCTTAAGGAAATATCGTTATCTCTGTCTGTAGTTAACTTTCACCCAAATGAGAGTTGGTTAGTTTATTATACAAGGCAGTCCAGGGCTGTGCTCAAATGTAAAAGGGCTACTGATTTGTTTAGATCGGCTCTTGGTTCCACAACATTCCTCGTTGCAACAATCATAAGGAGTTGCTTTCCCTGTAAAAAGCACAAGCAGAGCCTGAAACAAAATGTTGCAGCATAAAGTGATCATATTCAGGACTCCAGCTAGTTAGTAATGCCCTCTTCAAGGATCCCCTACTCAGGCCCCACTGAAGTTGGTGGCTTTGATGTTGGTGGAGCACGGGCTCAGTCCACAGGATTTTACTCCAAGTCCAAATATTTAAAAAGCTACACATACAAGGTGCTATTTGTGGGATATGATTCAGCTTATTGAGCAGATCCCATAAAGTTCAGACTAAAAGCCAGAATGGATTCACCCCCTGACTGACATTGAAGGCACAAGCCTCCACAGCTGGTCCTTCTTCCTCTATCATCCCAATCCTTAATTAGTCAACACTATGGGGTCACTGCAATATGCAGCAATATTCTTCTCTGTGCCCCATGCTGCTGGACACTGGCAGGTTTGCTTAAAGACGTCTTTCAGAGCTTAGCCGTTTGTATGTCTCCTTATTCTCTATTCTCTATTTCCAGGTGGAGGAGCTGTTTGACAGGCAGCTCCACCAAGTGAGGAAGCTTTGACCCGAAGTTTTGACCATTTCCTATTTCTCATCCTTGCCATTTGGGGAAGTTATTAAAAGAGAAGTGGAAGAACAATTCCTGATACACTGGCTCCACTTGACTGTGCACTGTACTGCTTTCTGAAGCCATAGTTCTGAAGCAGAGAAGAAAGAGGGGAGAGTTGGCCCTACCACAAGGCAGGATGCTGTGTGGCATTCCCTGTCTGCTTCACCTGAGGTCACCAGCCACTCCCTAATTTCTAGAGGACAGAGAAATGTGTGCCAGCTGGCCTGGCCTGCACCCTATAAGCCGACATACTGCCCTGCAGTCTAGCGGAGGCTCTTATACCATTGTCAGAATTAATGTAAGATTCAACAGCCACTTCCAGTTTCCTTCTGAAGGTGGAATGGAAGGGGTGCCATCATATTGACAGCAAAAGAATCTGGGACGGTCCTGAAACGTGGAAGAGTTTCTTGCATAATCCAGTAAAATAGTAGCGCTAGATTAAGTTTGTGGAAAGAGTAAGGGACCAGGTAAGAACAAACTCCTTGGGTATCTTTGTGAGTAAGTGACAGGAGACTGAGGATAGATGAACTCACAAAGATACCCAAGAAGTAAGTGACAGGAGACTGAGGATAGATGATGACTTGGCTTGTGTATCTCTCTAGTCAAGTATCTTTTCATAGGGCACCAGACGTGCACTGAAAATGGGAAAATGTACAAACAACACAAGTGCTAAATTGATGCATTAGAATGCCATGCTGGAGCCATTATGTTACTAGGCCAGAGATCGAAAAGTTACCTTTTAGACCTCAGTTCTCAGAACCTCCTAACTGGCTAAGAGATACTAGGACATTTAGTCCACAAAAGCAGCTTTTTCAATGTATGCGCAAAACCACAGTTCACTCCACTGTGGAGTGTCAGTATTGCAGGGTGAACTACAATACAGAGCAGTGCTACCTTGGGCTGTCCCTGCTCCACTCTGTCCATTTGCCATGCCCCCTCCTTTTGCTTTCTGATGTGCTGAAGAAGTACAAATGTGATGCACACACACACAAGAACCATATCTCTGTAATTTTCATTATAGGGGGTGGCAGATAAACAACAATCGAGGACACAGAAAACTTCCCTGCTTTTCTGCTTACTCAGCTGGCTTGTTGTGGGGAGAATGCTTGAGGACTCAAAGGGGCTATTGCCATACAATAATTTGCCACTCCAACATAGGAAATGACTGGGGCAAACCAATTGGAGACTTTCCCTCTATGGCTTTCTCCTAAAGCACTCGGCATAAAACTGTGGAATGACCCAGGCTTCAATCCCAATGAACTCAATGGGGCCACTTATGGGTTGATTGGTCTATTCAGGGGCTAGCAGTGTGCTGCAATCTACACAATTCAAGACATTTTTCAACAAAACTTGCACGGCTGTCTCATTATAGCAGCAACACTGTGGGTTTTTCAGGAAACAACCAGAAGATCATTTCAACTAGTTTCTGTAGCATGAGTCAAATGGTTTCCTCTGTCAATCTGAATGCATGAGGTGGAACCAGGAGGAAAGGGCGGAGCCACCCCGTTCAGCCCTCTAGGGTTGCGTTATTTCAAGATTATGTTGAACTCACTTTAAATCTGAAGAAGCACAGGAGGGAAGGCAACTTTGGAACTGCCTACTTGGGAAGCCTTCATGATGGATTCTTGTCCAAACAGTAAGTCCTAAAGAAACGGGGGGACATACCTTTTTATTCTGCCTTCTAGGTATAGGTGCTGTGTGGACCCAGAAGGACTGGTCTCATAAGAGTGCTACCAGCCAAAACAAAGCACTGCAGAGAAATGAGATAAGCAGGAATAGAACCTGGATGGACTTTTCTGGTTTTCACAGTCGGTTGGCATGATTTTTAAAAAATGTTTATTTCCTAACCTGTCATTTAGAGAATCTGTGATCTAAAAGGTCCTGTGTCATTGTGACATTTTTTGTCATATTATAGTGTATTATCGCTGAAAACTACCTTGAGATCATCTGCTGGTAACAGATATCCCTCAGAAATTAACACCCATCTCCAAAATAAAAACAAGGCATCCTCAACAGGATTCTTTTCATACTTTCCAGTCCACATTCCTACAAACTGACACATTGGTTGCCTGGATGTGAACAGGACGGGCCCCCTACATCTTCAAAAGTTTTATTGAACAAAAGGAATTTCTGGAGATGTCATTTGTATGAAGGTCTACACCCTGTCAATTGACAACCTGTCAAATCCTCCTCTTCGGTGTCACTGTCAATGATGCAGGAGTTCTCTCCTCTTTCATACCTAGCCAGCCTGTTTATGTCAGGCTTAGGGGCAGATTTGATTCAGTTGATGGAAGGGTTGATGGGTGAAAGGAGAAAACTGGAAAGAAGCAGTGATCTAGAAGATATGAACAGTGCAACTGTCATTTATTTCTAGAGATGAATGAATCTTTTTGTGACTACAGCTCCAGGAATATCGCAGCTGGCTGTGGTATTCTGGGAGCTGTAGTCCACACGTGCAACTTTTCCTACCTCCTTCAATCTAGTAGAATGCCTTTCCATGATACAGCTTTGTGCCTTGTGTTTGGCAGTGATGGAGCTTAAAGATGAGGAATTTGTTTCTTTTTAACAAATTTTGTTGGTGTCTTGTTTTTTGCTTGTTTTGAGTTATTGTGTGTCTGTTTCTGTTTGCTTTTTTAATTCATAAACCTCTCAGAACAGTACATTGCACTTAGGGGGCAGTACAGTATATAAAATAAATCCTGAATATTATTTTCAAAGTATGTCTATTTCAGATCTTAGTAATTTCTAGGTTCTAAAATGAAAAGAACAAACACTCTGACTACTGTCTTGTGTTGAGACTCAATCAGTTATTCTCTTTGGGGTGGTGTCCTTCTTTCATGGATCTCAGAGCATTGGACATTGTTCTCTTTTTCTCATGTTGTCTTCTCAACTCCTGTGAGACAGGTGAAGCTAAGAAATATCTGCTGGCCCCAGTTTACCTAACGAATATAGGAGGTGAGTGAGTGATTTTCCTGGTCAGTTAACTTTTATCACAGCGGTGTCCTGTGTCTAGAATAGAACAGGCTGGACAGTGGAACAAAGAAAGATGGAGAAGTAACTATGACTAGATCATGGGTTGTTATGGAAAAACAAACTAACTAACAAAAGAAGTTGCAGACATTCCCTCTTCTGGAGGTGGATTCCCACACATTCCTCACCCCGGCTTAAAATGTGTATTAAAATGAAGAGAGCATATCTATTGCTTCAATGTCATTTATTGCCAAAGTTACAGAGATTGTCTTGGCAGTATCTCTTTGTCATTTTAAAGAAAACATCAGAACACTCCAAAAGGTTGTAGACTTTTAAATTTCAATTCCAGCTCTCTACACACAGGCCTGAGCGCTGCCTTTGCCTCATGTTAGTCAGGGTGTGTGTTTATCATTTAGATGATAAAGTTTGCTGTTCTGATTTGGAGATGTGGGGTACTTCCTGTTTTATTTTGTGTGTGCATATTTTCTACTGGTTAAACAGCTCAGTGGTTTAGATAATGGTTGAAAGTTCGAATCCCCACTGTGCCTCCTCTGAGTAGAGCCGGGCTGTGTAGCCTTGGGCAAGCGGCACAGTCCGAAAACACCCCCAGAAAAAGGGAATAGAAAACCACGCCTGAGCATTCTCTGTCTCAGTGGTTCCCAGCCATTTTTGAGTTGTGACTCCCTTTTATAACAGCCAAGTAACTGCAACTACCCCCTGGCCATGTTTGCATAAAAAGGCATTTTTAATGGGGTAAAGTCATCCCTTCTCAGAAAGTAGAGGCTACTTTCTCCTCCAAAGTGCCTGTTTCTCATACATATGCATACATGCTAGCTTTAATATCCTGCTCTTAAAGGTTGAGGAAGAAGTTACTTAACAAGAGCTACATCTGAAGCCCCCCCTCCCAAGAAAACACTTTGCAGCCCCGTTGGGGATCATTACACAACAACAACAACAACAACAACTATTGGGGGTCATTACACGACAACAACAAGGAGAAAAAGCTAGTGGAGAGTTGATAAAATAAACCAGTTTGATACCCAGCCCAAGTTTTGGGATGGCTCTCTCTGCCTCTCTCACTTTGATTAACATCGTTTCCAACCTACCTTTCTGGCTTCTAGTTTTGGATTCGCAGCTTTGGACCGGACACCGATCACAGAATAAGCATATGCCAGTGAGGACCAATCAGAGACATTTTTGCTTTTCTACTAGGAGCAGCAAAGACTAGACTGGCGCCAGCTTGAAGCAGGAGGCAGCAGCAGTGATGTCTGTGCCATCCTGATCACCAACCAAGGCTTAATTTAATGAAGGGGCCAGACCTCAAACTTGCCTGGAATGTTTCAGCCAGTCCTCACACCATTGACCAGTAGATCTGAGCACTTTAAAAACAACAATAAAAGGAAACAGACTGCAGTTGGTGGCTTAGCAATCACTATCGGGTGCCTTGGTCACCCCTGATAAATGCACTGGGCAGGGTGCTGTCTGAATACACATTCTGTCTTGGATACCTCCTGGCATCCAATGCACAAGGCTGACAACTGTAATTGTTTAAATTCATCTTTATTCATTTCAATACCCTTTTCAAGAAATACCTTTCATTAAACACTTGTCATAAAGTATGCAGAATTCAGAAAATACGATAAAAGCCAAAAGTATCTGTATGATTCCTTTCATCTTATGTCTCTTGTTATAGTGAGCAAAGGACTGAAATGCTTATAAAATTCTGTTTCTTTTCCTGAAATTTGGCTCTAAATGCAATTTGGACATCTGGGTTTCTGTTCCTCTAACAGCTGTATGACAAATGGCTATGCTTACTGAAATTCTTCCTTCTACACAACTTTTAAAGGTGCAGGAGGTTTTTCCTAGCATTTCTGCACCTCTTGTCCACTAGGCATCTTTATCCAGCACTCCTACTGCAATCTTGTATTTTTTTTAATGTGCCAAGAAGCTGATTTCATTAGTTCTGACAATCCTCCATATTGCTACTTTCAGCTGTTTCATTTCAAATCAATTTCCTTAGCAAGTTCTCCAGCCTAAGATATTTCTGAACATTTCTTTAAAAAAATCAATCAATCTATTTTTATTTTACAAATTTTATTTGAACATGTCAATATAGCAATACAAATGAAAAATAGTATATATTACATGAATCAATTAGCTAAAAAACCAACCAACCACCAGCTGATGACAGTAATTACAAGTATTACAAAAATGTAAATGAAGTTTATCAATCATGTAAAATACCTAACAGGCTGTTACAATGAGCCGTTCCATAGGAATCCATGTTTTCCTACTTGGCTATTATTGTTTGCATATTTCTTAAGTTCTTTACCAGCTATTGCAGACGCCAGTTCTTTTTGGACTATCTGGATTAGCTTGGTCTCATATTTCTCACCAAATTATACTTTATCTCCAGTTTTGTATTTATATTTCATTTTAGCTATATTGCTCTGAGTGTTTTCAAACGATCTTTTGATTCTGCTCTTCCCATTTTTAAATTTCTGCTAATGAGAACTTATAAAATGGGCAATTCTCTCCCCACTCCACTGAAACGCCTTTCATGCAAAATATAGCTCAAAGGGGAATTTGCTAAAACACCATATCCAAAAGAGGAAGTTGAGAATATTGAAGTGTGGATGTTCTTTGTTGAAAGGCAGTTTTGACAAAACACAACAGATGTTTTAAGTGTGGAAAAAAACACTGCCTTAGCCAATTTCTTAAGAATGTCTTGCCACATTATTGGAAAATGCCCCCTTTTGGTATGTTTATCTTGAGTAAAGAAGGATACAACATGTTACACTTTTTATTTAGGCAGCACTGGCCAATGCAACCCATTCTGCTGGCTTTTATACTTTTTCCTTCTATCTGAGGCTCTCTGTCAGTTTTTCTTTACCATTCTATTTCACAACCAGACACATATTCTTCTTCAGCAAAGGAGGGTAACCTGTGGCCTTCCAGATATTCTTGGACTGTTTTGTTTCTTTCTTGGGTACTAAATATGGAATATTGTGGAATGAAGTGGAAGTTGTTCTTGTGGCTGTGAAATACCATAAAGTGGAGTGAAAGGAGCATGCCCAAAGCGCCCATGACTAAGATTGGAAATACAGGAAGAGTAGTGCCCTGCAAGACGATGTTAATCCATTCCACTGAAATCGCTGTCGTGTGAAAATATCATCTTGAGAAATGTGATTCCCCATTGGAATGCATTGAAATCCGTTTAATGTGTTCCAATGGGGAAAATAGTTGTTGTTTTGCGAAAATCGCTCATAGGGAGGCCATTTTGCGAAGCACCAATCAGCTATTAAAATCGCTGTATTGCGAAGCATCAGTCCCCAAAACACCTATTTTGCAAAGCACCGATCAGCTGTTAAAATCATCATCTTGTGAAGCATCAGTCCCGAGGGGAAAAAACCCGTCTTGCAAAGCACAGACCGAAACATCATATAGCGAAAATCGCCCATAGGAAACACTGTTTTGCGAAGTGCTATAGCGATCACAAAAACTCATCATCATGCAGATTTGTCATTTTGCGAGGTAATTGTCTAGCGGGGCACCACTGTAATGTCTTCCTCTCCACTTACTGGGCTGCTGGGGAAGGGGTCGATTACTCCTGCAGAGAGATGAACCAATTGTCTCTGGAGGACTTTGGCAATCAGGCCAAGGGCTCCATGATATCTGGCTAAGGGTCAAATATGCCCCCCAGGACACACACATTATCTATGCTTGTTATTTTTAAAAAATACCATGTTTAAAAGGGCTTTTTGTTCCTCTCTCTATTTCTTCTACCAGCGAGAGCTAGATCACTGCTTCCCTTTTTCTGTTCATATTTAGCAAGGGTTGTGATGTAAAATGTAAAGCAGAAAAAGAGTTTTCAGGACAAAAGGACTACACTTCCTCTTTCCATCTAGATGCAGTAAAAACAATATACGTAATGGTGTATTGGTGAATTATGGTATACCAGCTCAGGATGAAGGGAAATTATTTCAATTTGCATTTTGATATGAATTGACCCAATTTCAACTTCCCAAACCAATGCATGAACCGAAATGGAGTTATATTTCAATATTCATGGCATTCCAAATTTTTCATTGAAAAAACAAACACATACACACGCACGCATGCACACACAAAAAATGCATTATATTGGGGGAAATTCCAGGGGTATAGTTTGTTGCAGCAATAATAAGACAAGGTATTGCGGCACTTTAAAGACAAGTACCTTTTATTCGGCATTTGTTTTTGTAGATTATAGCCCACTCTTTCAAGCAGCGCCGAAGAAGCAGGCTATGTGATATAAAATCCATGAAATTTTCCACCAAACAACCAGCCCTGGTTTAGTCTGACCCAATTTAGCTTAGACAGATACTGGGGTATCAGTAGACAGATCAGTAGCTGCATATTGCTGGTATTTATTTTCAGCTACAGTAGCAGCATCTCTTTTCTTGCTGAGTGCTGCAAAAAACCTAATAATAATGTTGGTGTGCCTCCCCTTCCCAGCTACTATTGACCACTGCTTCTGCTTTTTTTTTTTTTGGGGGGGTGCTGTATTTAATGAATCATTTTGTGGTCTTCATCTCTGACATCATCCAATTCAGTTTCCTAAACATTAAAGAGGAAGCCCAGTTTTGGTTCAGCTAGAGCTATATGTGACCAGTAATAGCAATACCTCTGTTCTAATAGCAATACCCAAACATCTAAGGCACCTGTGAAACTGAGGGAGGTAGGCTATCTCAAGCTGCATTTTCACAGGAGAAACTTCAGGATTAAAATCTAGGACTTGATTTAAAATACACAATTTGGGCCAGCTTTTTTTGCAATGGGGATGCACATTATATTATTTATGCATATTTCAACAGAATATTTATAAGACACAAATATTCTCCACTCAGGAGATGTTTTGGAATAAAACTCTGCACTACTTAGGATTCTGATTGTTCTGCAGTGTAGTGGTGGGGAGGGAGTAAGTCTTTCTTCCAGAAAGATCCAGCTAGATCTTAACTTGGTGCACTCCAGATGTGTTCAGCTATAATTCTGATCGTTGAAGTGCTATTGGCCATTCTGACTGGAACTGTTAGAAGCTGTGGTCCAGGAAATCTGAAGGACCCCCAGACAAGGGAAGGCTGACCTAGAGATAGCAATCTCTGTGACAGGGGAAAGACCATGACCGCTTTGGCAGAGCCAGGTGAGAGAAGCTCCAGCAATCCTCCTAGCTCTTCTGGGCTCTGCTATTCAAACCACATGCCTCACAATTATACAAGTGGTGCCTCGCACAGCGAGGTTAATCCATTCCAGATTAACTCTTGCTGTGTGAAATATCGCTGTACGGAAAGAAAAAAGCCATTGGAATGCATTAAACTTAGTTTAATGCGTTCCAATCGGCTGATTTCCTCACTGTACAGCGATGTTCCTCTATGGCCGGCGGCCATTTTCGCGCCCTCCCCTCGCTTAACGAGGGCGTGAAAACGCTGCGCGTGGCCATTTTGAGGCTTCCGGCGGCCATTTTGAAGCCGCAGAACAGCTGATCGGCGGGTCGCAAAGCGAAGGTCGGTAAGCAAACCGCTTACCGACCTTCGCTCTGCAATTTTCGCCCATTGGGGCCGTCGCTCTGTGATCGCATTAGCAATCGAAAAAACGCCCCCGTAGAGTGAATTCATCGCTCTACGGGGCGCTTGTTGTGCGAGGCACCACTGTAGACTCATAAAGTTTGGAAGGAATCTTGAGGTCACATAGCTATCCTTCCATCCAATTACCATGTTGCTTGGAATCCTAGGAAATTGCCTAGCTAAGTCAACTGAGGGTGTCGTTACTTGGGTAGTAGATTGAAATTTGGACTGCTTGTGGAGCTTAAGTCAATACATTGGCCCATCTAGCCCAGTTTTCTCACCTCAGATTTACAGTGGCTTTTGGGGGTTTCCAGCAGGATTCTTTCCTAGCCTTACCTAAAGCCCCCCAATATTCCCGGTAATCTCCCATCCAAGTATGAACCAGGCCAAACTGTGCTTAGCTCCAGAAATCAGACAAAATGTTATTCAAGGTGATAGGGTGTTTTGGCAACAAATCCCACTTTTCCTCCCACAATCTGTTGTGCTTGTGTTCATGTCAAATCTCTGAACCACATCTGAGCTCAGATGAATTTAAAGAACAATGAGTGGAAAACTCAATATGCACCCAAAAGACCACTTTGAGAACAAAGTGAGTTGGTGGACATGTGGAATAGTGCATTTGGGTTATTAGAGTGTTGAATTAGAACAGACAAAATTTGTTTTCAATTCTCTATTCACCTCTGAAAATTACAATCTTTCAGCTTAACTCAGAGGTTCTCAACCTTTGGACCCAAACGTATTTTTCACTTTGGTTCCTAGAAGCCTATGTCAGTGTGGTCAATTCTGGAAACTGAAGTCCAAAACATGTGGAGGGCTGAAAGTTGAGAACCTCTGGGCTAACCTACTTTAGAGGTGTTTTGTGAAGATAAAATACATGAGGAAGGCCCTCTTGTGTTACTAGGAGATCCTCAAGGGGGAGGGCAGGTTAAAAAAGGCCACATGTTCTCCTTTGGAACATCATATCCTTGAACAGAGAATTTGTTAACAGGAATAAAACTATTATTTTTTTCCCCAGGATCTTCTGATTTGAGTGTGACTGAAGAGACTGAACTAGGGACCATCAAGAAGCACAAGGAAGAGCTGCTGGAGGACATCCAGGTAAGAGCCACCTCATCGCTCTTCTGTAGATAGATGGAAACATTGCTGGGAACAATGCACATTATGTGCTTCGGCAGTTTTATTCATACCCAGGTTCTTTCTTTAACAGCATGGGTTTGTTTCAAGTGGCAGCGAAGTGACTGAAAAGATGCCAGCAAACATTTTAGCAGCAAGGTGTAGCGTTGCTTCCTTCCCAATTCTAGAGTGAATGATGGAAAAGCATCTGCTGGACTCTTTCCTCTTCTCTTCCACCACCTTCATCTCCCCCCCTTTTTTTTTCTTCTCTCTTTCAGAGGTTAAAAGATGAAATCGCTCAAGTATTTGAAGAGATTGATAGTTTCCAGCAAGGACAAATGAGGTGAGGATCCAGTCACCGTTAAGAGACCCAGAAACAGCAGGGAAGTTCTACTAGTGCTTGGGAAAGTTATTTTTGGATTACCACTTTCAAAATCCCTAGGGAGGGAATTCTGAGAGTTGCAGAGTTTAGAAATAACGTATCTAGTCCAAAGAAAGGTCCTCTCAAGTTAGCAGCATAACGGTAGATTTTTGAAGTACATGTATAGGATTATGTCATGCAATGGTGGTTGGCCCACTAGAGCAAGTTGAATACTGCTCCATTTAAGGTCAAATTATTTCCAGCCAGCCTATTCCTTGCTTCCTCTTTAGTACACGTTGAGGAGTCAGGGTCTTACATGTCTTCTCCTATATGTCTACATGTGTGGATAATTGCTTGCCTGTATTTGTGTCTTTGTGTCAATCATCTCACTTTTGCCCCTGGCTCTGCTGGATAGCCTGGCTCCGCCCATCTGTGCAGGACTATCTGCCCTACCAAACAATTACAATGGGTACCAGCCATCTCTATCCTCCTGTCAGCCTCCATAACCCAATCCCAAGGAGAACCCATAGTAATGAGAGTAGGACTGGCCCTACCATTAGGCAGAGGAAGGCACTGCTGCAGGTTGCTGATGCTGGGGGGGCCAGCAATGGAGCCTCCCAACCTTGTTCCTCCTAAGCCATTCTGGTCTCTTAAAGGACAAACCTGTGGGTATTCCACACAGCATGTCCTACAATGTCTATACTAGCCTGCTGCTCTCTAGCAGCAGGGATCCTCTCCCATTGATAGTGCTGAAGCTTCCACCTCAGTCAGCTGTACATGAAATTCAGGGAAGCAACATCTTGCCTTCTGCCTAAGGCCAGAAATTATTATCCTATAACAGAAGCAATGTCATGTCACATTTACAGTATTGGTCTGTCTTAGAAATCCACTAGGAACTTTCTAAAATTGACAAACTTTATTATAAGAACTGGTGTTTAAACCAAATATAAAGCAAAAAATGACAGATGTTTCTGTCCAGTCACAGGGCTTTGAATGCTCACTTCTTAGAAGGCTGGCTTTGAATTGCTAAGTGTTCTATCATGTTCATGTTGCTGAATTAAGATTGCTATCTCTTTTTTCCTGATAGGCTGCTTATACTTAACAGCTACACAGGGCACATGTAGGACACATTCCCCTCTCCCTCCATTCTGAGAACAGCTGTAACTGCTGAAGTTGTCCTGTGCTGATAGTTGAGGATTTAGCTCTGTTCCTTTTGATTAAATAAATTTAGAAAAATTGACAACTTTCATATTTGATACAAAGAACTTGAGATTACCCAAAATCTTGAATGCAAGAAAAAACAGATTTTTCTGTTATGGGTCAGAATGGAGAAGTTTTGGAATATCATCTTACTGGGAACAAGCAGACACTTAAGAGAAGAAAAAACAAACCGAACTATGACATCTCACCTTTTTATTGTGGTTCCTACTTGTATTCTCCTCCTGCTGTATTTATATGTAAATAATTGCTTGCATGTGTTTGTATAGTACTCTGCATTCTGTATATCTATACCTATATCTATATTGATGTAGTGACATTATATGTTTCTAATTGCAGCAAAGTGATCCAGAGGGACAAAGATCTTTGCATTGGACGAAAAAAATTTAACATGGATCCTAATAAGGTAAGATGATGAATGCGAAATCAGCAGATGGTGATTTTATAACTGGGGAAAGATGTGCAGAAAGGAGAAGGCCCTGTTGGAAGACTGTTTGGATGCAACACTGCATCCAAAGCCAAAAATAGTCATGAGGATATTCAACCTCTGTGAGGAGGAGGAAGAAGAGGAGGAGGAGGAGTGGCAGTGGTGGCGGCAGCCACAGAGACATATTGTGACTATTACTCTACTCCTCAGTAGAGAATTCTCCCTTTCACTCTTTGCAGATATGGGGAAAGGTGGTTTTTCCAATGCAATCTTAACTCAAAGAACTGTTGGCGATAGTAGGCTTAAATCAGCCAGCAGGAGAGACATACGGGCTGCTAGAAGGGGAAACCTGGCTGCTGTTTGCAAAGACAGCAGGGGGGCCACTTCTCAGGAGGCTTGCCTTGTATGTCTATGCACCTGTCAAACAGCTGATCTGAAGAGACATAGACAGGGCAAGCCTGGCTGCCCAAAGGGAAGCCCCCACTCTGCTGTCTCACCTGACAAACCAACTAAAGAAAAAGAACCGACGAACCGATTCGTCCATTTGTAGCAGATTCCCTCTCTGCCTATGCCCCCAAGGAACAGCTGATCTCTGGGGGGCATAGGCAGAGAGGGAATTTGCTACAGATGGAGAAATATAAAATTATATGATTATATTTCTCCCTTTGTATTTGTCAGGATCTCTGGAACTGACAAATACAAAGGGACGAATATCCGACGAATCAGCAATATTCAACAAATACTGTGATTTGTTTTTATATTCGTCCCGATGTCTTGTTCGGATTCAGCACTGTTTCATCTGATTTTGTGTCATCATTTGCCTTGGCTGGCTAAGATTGTACCCAGAAATAGTAACTGTGTGCTGTCAGATCAATTCTGACTTATGGTGACCATATTCCAGGGTTTTCCAGGTAGTCAATATGCAGAAGTGGTTTCCCATTTCCTTCTTCTGAGGACACCCTGGGACTGTGCAACTTGTCCAAGGCTAAACAGGCTGGCTCTACTCACAGGAGACACAGTGGGGAACTGAACTCCCAACCTCTGGTTCTGTAGCCAGAGACCTAAACCTCTGAGCTCCCAGAAACACGCAGTCAAAGTGTTAAGTTACCTTACATTATATTAGGTTAAAAAGTTACAGAATCGTAAATAGAATAATGGAGTTGGAAGTAGCCTATATGGCCAATGAATTAATCTCTCTGCACAATGCAGGAGTCAGGATAAAAGGTTATGTTATATTATGTTGTGTTTATATGCCACCTTTCTCCCAGAATTTGGGCCCAAAGCACCTCACAAAACAGTTACAAAAAACTAGAAATTGAGATGTACAGTACTAAAATTACAAATGTTAAAATAGAATCCAGTCATAGCTTTAAAAAACAATTATAATAAACCAATTTAAAATGACTAAAATACTAATATTAATTTGCCTTGAAAAAGAAAAAATCCTGCACAAAGCTAGAATCTTATATTTTCAGGCTCTTTAATTGTTGAATGTGCGTTTGAATAAAAAAGGCTTTTGCTTCCCACCAGCAGGGTAGGGGCAAAGCTAGCTCTTCTTGATAAGGAGTCCTAGAGCCTAAGAGCGGCCACAGTCCCCACCAAACAGGGCTGTGAAGATGGTAGGGTGTGAGAAGGGTCTCTCCAGCTGATTTCAAAGCCTAGGAGAGGTGGTATGGGAGAATATGGTCTTTCAGATAGCCTGGACTCAAGTTGTATAGAACTTTCTAGAACATAAACAGAACTTGAACCAGCAGCTAGTGAAGCTTTTACAACAAGGGAGTTACATGGTCACATCCTGGCTGGGATCCTCAAAGTATATTCCAAAAAAGTGAATGGCCCAAGCTTGGCTGAGGCCCACACTGACTGTCAGAAACAAAGTGAGGGTCGGTGAGGGAGCTTGGTATTTCTCCTTTCTGCTCTCCTTCCTTGGCCTGACGTACAACATCTTCTTTAGAAGGAAAACCACAAGCAACAGCATAAAACGATTAGCAGTCATTTTAACCACAGCTAATTTCAGCCCACAGCCTTTCCTATCCTCTGCTTTTACCTTACAGTATTTCTATACATCTTTCATATACAGTACTGATGAACAAAGTAGGTCATGCCTTTCCATTGGACTATTTCAGTGACATGGAGAGGGGGGATTTGCTGCTTGGGTAACAGCCTATCCACCATATTCTTTTAGCCAGGCTTCGTGCTCTGGAGAAGACACTCCAGCTTTGCATACAGAGACGAATAGACCCTGTTCCAAGTCCTCCATACAGAGCATGTTACTATAGTCTCTCGAGACTGAAGGATGCCTATGAATGATAGAACTTGCCCCACCTGATGTGAACTGATGTAGTGTCACCTCTTAATTTTCCTTCCTTGGTGTAATTGCATCTGTGCATTGTATATATGGCACTCTATCAACACTGCACTTCCAGCTAAATCGAATAAACCCTGTTCCAAGTCCTCCATACAGAGCATGTTACTATAGTCTCTCGAGACTGAAGGATGCCTATGAATGATAGAACTTGCCCCACCTGATGTGAACTGATGTAGTGTCACCTCTTAATTTTCCTTCCTTGGTGTAATTGCATCTGTGCATTGTATATATGGCACTCTATCAACACTGCACTTCCAGCTAAATAGTTTCTTTCCATTATCCTTTCACCCACTTGCACTATCAACACTACACTTGGAAGTAAAAACTCAGGGCTCAAATATTGCTGAACCTCATAAAGCATTGGCTAACACTAGGGATGAGCAAACTCCACATAAAGCTTGAGATAATTACTTTTGCAGTCACCTAGATTCCTCCTCACAACAACAAAATTTCTTGACTTTCTGCAAAGACCAGATACAGAGGGGCCTCAACTTACGAACGTCCCTACTTACAAAAATTTTGAGTTACGAAAAGCTCCAGCTGCAAAATTTTGCTTTGACTTGTGGCCGGAGCTTCCAGTTACGAATAGAAAAAGGCAGGGAAAAAAGGCGGGGAATTCAAACCATTGGTGGTGAAGAGGCTACTTCTTCACCCCAACAGTTAGGAAAAGGGAGGCTCAGTCTCCCGGGCTTCCAACACCGGCCTGCTGGTGCCGGTGCTTTGGAAGCCTGGGAAGACTGCGCAGCAAATTTTTGGATTTTTTTTTTGCATCCCCAGGGGCTTGCAGATTTTTAAATTTTTTATTTTTTTGGTGATTTTTTTTTTCCTTTGGCCGGAAAGGATTAATCGGTTTTCAATGCATTCCTATGGGAAATGGTGCTTAGACTTACAGAATTTTCGAGTTATGGTCACCGTTCCAATATGGATTAATTTCGTAAGTTGAGGCACCACTGTACTGGCAGATCCTGCACAGAAAAGTGGACTTTCTGTGTTGGAACTGGAACTATGCTTTACAGGTTGGAGTTTCTTCTGTTTTTTCTATATGAATCCAGTGCAGGAAAGATCTCATTTCATGCAGGAACTGTAACAGTCCTCAGTAGCTGTGTTCTTTGCATCTTAATCCTGCACAGAAAAACTGTGATTTTGAACAGGAATTGTAATAATCCTCTGCTACTAGTCATGTATTCCAGAAAATATACCATCGCCGGTGCTTTGGAAGCCTGGGAAGACTGTGCAGCAAATTATTGGATTTTTTTTGCATCCCCAGGGGCTTGCAGTTTTTAATTTTTTAAAATTTTTTTGGTGATTTTTTCCCCTTTGGCTGGAAAGGATTAATCAGTTTTCAATGCATTCCTATGGGAAATGGTGCTTAGACCTACAACATTTTTTGAGTTATGGTCACCATTCCAATATGGATTAATTTCGTAAGTTGAGGCACCACTATACTGGCAAATCCTGCACAGAAAAGTGGTCTTTCTGTGCTGGAACTGGAACTATGCTTTACAGGTTGGAGTTTCTTCTGTTTTTTCTATATGAATCCAGTGCAGGAAAGATCTCATTTCATGCAGGAACTGTAACAGTCCTCAGTAGCTGTGTTCTTTGCATCTTAATCCTGCACAGAAAAACTGTGATTTTGAACAGGAATTGTAATAATCCTCTGCTACTAGTCATGTATTCCAGAAAATATACCATTAAACATCTGAGAAATCCTGTAAGATTGTTTGTGGGATTTCTTAGAGGACACTCTTTTGCAGAGAAATCTTGCTGCAATAAGAAGAAAGAGCCTCCTCCTCATTTCTCTCTGAGATTGAGAAATTTTCATCCCTACAGTAAAATGTCAGCACCAGGAACCTGTATCCAGATCCCTGAGTAATGAATTCAGTTGAAAAGGTGGTTGCAATTGTAAAGGAAGTTGAATAAATTTAAAAAGGGCCTCATAGAAGTAAAGTGATTTGGTAGAGACAGAATCAATAAGCATGTTTTCAATGGGTGGGCTTCCCTTGGGAGGGAATTCTAGAGCTCTGATACATCTTAGAGCAATATCTGATCTAATTTTCCACAGAAGCAGAGCCTGAAGCCTACTCTTATGATGAGTATGGGCATATTACCCAGCTATGCTTGCTTTGATCAGAAGAGAACAGAACCTGGAGCACAGATCATGGAAAAAATAGGAGAAAGAGTAATATGGGGCCATCTGTGTTTTTATTACTGATCAATCTTCTTACATGGCGAACTTTTCCTTCAGATTTGGATAATGCTAGACCTTTGGGCTCTTAGAGTAGAATGCAAGGCATCGCCTGCAAGAGAGAGAATAAGATGGTACTCTCTCTGCTTTTGAATGCAGAAGCTGATTAAGAGGCCAGTCAGAGGCCTGGCAATGGAGTAGCATCTTCCACCATACCCAGGGGTAGCAGGCCAGTTCAAGGGACTAAAATTAATATCCAAAGCATCCTAATTCTCTTATTATAGAGCTGTAGAGCAGGAAGGGAGCCCACAGGTCCTCAAATCCAACCCCCTGATAATAGAGGAAGATAGCTTTCCAGCATTTCTTAAGAAGGCCACAATGAAGGAGAATCTGCCATCTTCTAAGGAAGTCCATTGCATTGTCAAAAGTTCTTGCTGTCAGGAAGCTGTTCATTGAAGACTCATTTCAGGTCATTTGAATAAAGTCCTAGCCTCTGGAACAGCAGAAAACAAATTTGCTCCATCATCCGTGTGAAGGCCCTTCAGATATCTGAACAGAGCCTCCACATGACCAGTTACTATTAACTTCTCCAGAATAAACACATCCAGCTATCTTAGCCTTTCCTCCAGTGCTAGATTTCCTTCATGGGAAAACCTTCAGAACAGGTATTCCCTTTTAGAGGACAATTAAACATAATTAAAAATATGAGCCTCGTGGCGCAGTGGTTGAATTAAACATAATGTTGTTGTGTGCGAAATTCTTTTCTATGAGAGGCTCCAAGGCCAATGAGATAACCTTTAAATGAACAAAATGTCTGGACATGGGCAGATTGCTTGTACCTTCTCCCTGAGAGTAGTAGCATCCCACTTATAGGTAATAGATAAAGAATTTCATGATGTGACTCAACATTTCTCCAACAGGGCATCCAATATCTGATAGAACATAAGGTGTTGTCCTTGAATGTGCAAGACATTGCCAAATTCCTTTATAAAGGAGAAGGCCTCAACAAAACAGCTATAGGAGATTATCTGGGGCAAAGGTAGGCACCTGATTTTACTTCATACAATGCACATACCTTTATTTGGTTCTGTTTTACAAGGTATGGGAAGACTATGGGTTGAGAGAGGGAGGGAGGAAAATTTTGTTCAGATGGCATTTTAATGAGAACTTACCTAATTTTGTGCTTCCAAACAAAAACACAAATGTAAATTTGATTAGCACTGAAATGCAAATTTCTTGGAATTTTGCAATGAAGCTCACAAGACAAATGAGTAAACAGGCAGAAATGTGTTTGTTAGGAGAAGGAATGCACACACAAAATACATACATTAATGAAATTAACAATGAAATGAATTTAGCAAAGTGGCTCATAAAAATGCGTCCACTAATGGACCATGTGTATAATAGGTAAAATGTCCACAACAATATTTATAGAATCTTGTGCAAACATTTTTTAAAAAAATCTGAAAGTTGAACCAATCTTATATTTGCTTGGAAAATATCTCAAGCTTCAGAATAAAATTGAGAGTGGAAAATGAGAAACTGAAAAATGAGAATCTCAACCATCTGTCCATAATTTGGGACATTGAAAATACCCCTCTTTGCCTTCTCTCCCCATATCACTCTGTTTTCTCTTGCTAGGGAGCCACTGAACCTCCAGGTTCTGCAAGCTTTCGTAGAGTGCCACCAGTTTGCTAATCTCAACCTTGTGCAAGCGCTAAGGTAAGTCAGTTTCCCCTTTCTGTCTCCTCCCACTTTCAGGAGGAGAGTTCCAATTTAAAAAAAATATTATAAGTGATGCAGTACATCAGCGATGCACTAATACCATGTTAAAAAAGTCATTTCCTCTGCCCCTCCATGGAGTAGATAAAATATTTAACTGGCCAATATAATGAACTGGTATCTTCTTAAGCCACTTCATTATATGTGAAATTAAGAGCAGAAGAAGCTGGACCAAATAGGGTTGCTTGAAGCTCATATGCCATTTGGATGCAAGGATTTCACCAAATGGCATACCAGATCATTCAGCAACTTCTATTTAGCTCACACCAGCCCACTCCAAATAAGCCTCCAAGGTTGAGGACAGAAGAGGGCTTTATTTTTTCAATTCCCAAGAGTAGAGACTGCAGGCCCCTGGAGATGTGAGTTACAGTTCAAGAATATTTGGAAGACACCACTAGTTGCCCACCTTTGCCTTATAGAGAATTATTCAAGATGATACCTGGGATGAAATTGCAGGTGGGGGAGAAGTCAAAATGATCTGGCATGTTCCTGATTTAACTCTCCTTAACTCTTGGTGAAGTTCCAATCCTGAAATCAGCTAACTAGCTGATGGTGCTTTTGCTGGCACCAATGATAAAAACATGAAAAAGAATACAGAGTAAGCTATCAGAATATCATTATTGTGTGGTATGTAAGGAAGACATTCTACTCACAGATACATGCAGTAATGTTGTTGTACATTTGACGTGCAGGTGCTCATTATGACAAGTCCCCATAGACATGCCCCCAAGAAGAGGCCAAAAGTTGTATGACTCTGTATCAACTCAACAGTTGTAGCAACTTCCATCTGCATCAGAAGCAGATATTTTGTTAAGCTAATGGGTCTTAACTACTCATTCAGGAATATGACACTCTAAAATACTCTACACCAGTGGTCCCCAACCTTGGGCCTCCAGATGTTCTTGGACTACAACTCCCAGAAGCCTTCACCACCACCTCTGCTGGTCAGGATTTCTGGGAGTTGATGTCCAAGAACATCTGGAGGCCCAAGGTTGGGGACCACTGCTCTACACTGCAATATAAACATAGCTTTGGGGAAGTGCTGGCTGAAAAAGTAACTTTTCTAAGCTCTGAAAAGGCTCTGTTCCATTCCATCCTGTTCCATGTGGTTCTTTCCTGGTGGCTCTAAGGGTTCATGCTGTTAACTAGTCATTACTGATTCTGAAGAATAAAGATATCCAGGACATCTATCTTTGTCTACTTTGTGTGAAAGGGGAAGGACTTGTGATAGAATAATCTGATGGTGTGGTTTCATTTGCAGGCAATTCTTGTGGAGCTTTCGGTTGCCTGGGGAGGCACAGAAGATTGACCGTATGATGGAGGCCTTTGCCAACTGGTATTGCCAGTGCAACCCAGGAGTTTTCCAGTCAACAGGTAGTTGTTTTAGAAGATGTAAGGGAACACTTATTCCAGACAGTGTATGCTGTATGTTGAGGGGAAAAAAATGAATGAGTCACAAAAAGCAGAAAAAGGCAAATAACAAAGGCTAAATGTGTTTCATTCCACATATCAGTTTGGGAAGTGTGAATGCCAGGGATGGTAAAAGGGTCCCAGTCCCTTAACACAGAGGTCCTCAACTTTTTCCTTACCACGGACCGGCTGAGCCTCTCCAGACAGTGTATGCTGTATGTTGAGGGGAAAAAAATGAATGAGTCACAAAAAGCAGAAAAAGGCAAATAACAAAGGCTAAATGTGTTTCATTCCACATATCAGTTTGGGAAGTGTGAATGCCAGGGATGGTAAAAGGGTCCCAGTCCCTTAACACAGAGGTCCTCAACTTTTTCCTTACCACGGACCGGCTGAGCCTCTGAGGGAGGTCGGGCGGCCCGGCCCCCACTCGGATGCATGCACAAAGTGGTGGGGGATCGCGCGCGTGCAGGGGTGCCTGCCCACCCGTGCGCCCACTCCTGCGTGCGGGCGCATGTTTGAAGGGGTGAGGGAGCAGGGAGTGAGGGGGGAAGGTCTGTTTTCACAGTTGGGCGGTGGCGAGGGGGTGGTGCAGAGCCGGGAGATACAGCGAGAAATTGTGAATGTGTGTGGGTGGGTGTGAGAGGGAGGGGGCAAGCAAGCCCCAGGTGCTCTCCTCCTGGCATCAGCATCAGTGACTGGGGTGGGGGGTGTAGAAGAGCTGGGAGGAAGAGCAAGCCCCAGGTGCTCTCCTCCCGGCAGCGGCGGTGGCGACGGGGATGGGGGTTG